GGGTGGAGAACGTTGTATCTTCTGGATCAACTGGGTTTTCACTGGAACTGGTTGAAATTCTAAACTGTAGAGATGTTGTTACTTCTTCTGTGGAAATGCTTCACCGTTTCCAGGGTCGAGTGGCTTTTCACTGAAGCTGGTTGAGAAGATTTCACGAAGTTGCTAGTTGCGCCTCCCCAGAACTTCCGAATTACTTTGTGGCTTTACACAACAAGTGGCCTTACACTTGGAATTCTTCTAAGTTGCTTACGGGTTCCTTCAGTTTTCCTTCCTCGTGGCCTTACACTCGGAACTCAAATACTAAGTCACTAATTCTCCAATTTTCCAATTAACGATTAAAATCGATTAAAAAAAGGCTTTACTTCTTCTAATTGGAAATTCTACTGACTGCGCTACTTTTATTCTTTATAAAATGATATGTGTTCGATGGAGAATTAAGTAACGAAAAACTCTGAAGGAAATGCACAAATTTATTCAGATGTTTACAGTTTAGGTTACAGAATTATACTAACTTAAGAAATACACACTATATCTACAAAAAACCTCTCATAGTTCTTGATAATACGCCACACATGCAGTGGCGTGCTCGCCATAACATATATGATTTAAAGACTTCCCTCAGTTTTCTGTAAGCTGCCCATGTTAGGCATATTCTCCTATTTAATTCATGTTGTTTGGTTGTTTCTTCCTAATTTAAACTCGTGGTTTTCTTAAACCATGTTCTTAAATTCCGCAGCCGTGATATTCTCCTTCTACCGGGTCCTCGCTTACCTTTGACTTTACCTTGCAATATAGACTGTAGCAGGCAGTAACGGTGCTGATTTCTCATAACGTGTTCCAGATATTGCAATTTTATGCGTTTGATCGTAAACACAATCTCTGGTTTCTTCTTCATTTTTCCTAGAATTTAATAATTATAGGTATACACGTTTAAATAGGTAAAGAAATAATATACACGTAAAGAAATAATAAACAGTATACACGTTTATTAAAATAATAAAAATAGACCTACTGGAAATCAGCAAAATAAGATGGCCCGAGTCAGGATCATGTAAAAAGGACGAAAGTGTATTATATTATTCCGGTAACAGCACAGAAGACCCGCATCACAAAAATAGTGTAGGTTTATTAGTAACATCAGAATTGAGTAAATATGTGACCAATTTCGTATCAGTCTCGGATAGAATAATATTACTCCAAATAAATACTCAACCATTTAAAACTAACATACTTTAAATCTATGCCCCGACTGCAGATAGAAAATATGACAATAAAGTCGAGAAGTTGTATGATCAGATTCAAGACATCTTAAAGAAACTTAATCAATACGAAATTTTATATATTATAGGTGATTTCAATGCAAAAATTGGAAGGTCGACGAGATCAGACTGTAGGTCCTAATGGTTTAAGACAACCTAATGATCGAGGACAGAGATTGTATAAATTTTGTGAAGAAAACGATATGATCATTGCAAACACCTGGTCTAAACTACCCAAGCGATGACTATACACTTGGAAAGCTTCATTTGATGATGGCAATAACCCTGAGTCTTCAAGAAATCAACTAGGCTATATACTTGTAAATGAGCGTTTTCGAAATGCCGTCAAAAAAATCACTACATTTCATTGGGCAGATATTTGATCTGATCATCAACCACTTTTAGCAGATGTTAAACTAAAGTTAAAATGAATTCAGCGACAAAAACCAAAAACCAATGTACTTAACTTTGATGATATAAACATGAAACATTACATTAAAAACGAATTTAAAATAGAATAAAAACATCGGAGAAAAACTAGAAGATCCAAAAGAACTATGGAGTGAATTTAAAAACCAAGTTAACGAAATCTCCACAAACAATGGCTATAGAAAAAACTTAATCCAGAAAAATAAATGGATGACAGACGACATCTTGAAATTAATGGAACAACATCGACTGATATATCTAAGAAAAATGGATGAGAGAAAGGTGCGACGAAATGGAAGATGTAGTATTTAAACACGCCTTATTTAATGTGTACAAAAAACTAAAAGAAATGAGTAACATATTTAAAAAACGAGTTCCCTCTGTATTCGTTGACAATAATAACAAAATTATTGTTAATGAATACGAAATAAGAAAATAATGGCAGCTGTATATATCAGAGTTATTTGAAGATGACAGGAATAAGATTGCCGAATTCTACCAAAACTATACTGACGGCCCACAAATTATGAAATGCGAGGTAGAACACGCTATAAATAATATTAAAATTAGACAAGCTTATGGTCCAGATGATACACCAACTGAGTTACTAAAACTAATAGAGGATGATAACATAAAAGTAGTAGTATGATTTTTTAATTCAATATATAACACCGAAGTGATTCCCACAGATTGGCTCAAATCCATTTTTGTCGCAATACCTAAAAAACACAATGCGAGAATATGCTCTGAATATCGATTAATTAGCCTAATGAGACACACTCTAAAAATACTTCTAAGAATACTTCACAACAGAATTAGACGCAAATGCGAAGAAGATCTCGAAGATACCAAATTTGGTTTTAGAAATGCTATGGCAACCAGGGAGGCACATTTTGCGCTTCACATCCTATTACAAAAATGTCGTGACCAAAGAAAAGATGTATTTGCATGTAAAATTAATGCAAAAGCACACCATGTAAAATTAATGCAAATACTGAAAAATATCGGAATAGATAACAAGGATATTCGTGTCATTAAAAATTTGTACTGGAATCAAACTAGTATCGTAAAAATTGGAGATAACTACACCGATGAAATCTCCATACAACGAGGAGTCAGACAAGGTTGCATTTTTTTATTGTGTTTTTTTTGCGGACCAGTTTTTTAAAAAGGTATTTGAGAGACAACCATATGAAATAAAAATCAACGGGGAACTACTTAGTGTGATTAGATACAGTAATTCTTTCAGATAATATTGAAGGTCACTAAATTTTGCTTGATCGTATTTACGAGGTAGGAGAGGAAATGGGCATTAAAATAAACTCACATAAAAACCAAATTTTTAGTATTTAATCGTGACCCACATCCCGATGCAAAGCTTCTATTAAATGGAGTCCAAGTTAAGAAAGTTCACAAAATGACATATTTGGGAACTGTGATAGTGGACCAACTAGCTCCAGACATAGAAATAAAACGTAGAATAGCAATGACTAAAACTACTTTTATGAAAATGAAGTAATTTCTTTGCAATAATCATCTCAGTTTACTAAGACAAAGAATGGTTAAGTGCTATGTTTGGTCCGTACTTTTGTATAGTGCAGAACTGTGGACGCTAAAAGTATCGATCATGAACAAAATTGAAGCATTGGAAATGTGGGTTCATAGACGAATGCTGAAGATACCTTGGACAGCAAGGAAAATTAATGAAAAAGTACTAAGAAGCGTTAACAAAGATAGAGAACTGCTAAAGATTGTTAAACATGGAAAAATGACTTATCTGGGACATATAGTAAGGGGAAGTCGATATAAAATATTACAACTGATCCTTAAAGGCAAAATATAGGACCATAGAGGTGTAGGAACAATCAAGTTTCTTCAGATATCAAATGCAGGACAATTATTCCATATTGCAGAAGATCGATTCGCAATGGTGATCGCCAACGTCGGATAATTCTGATATGGCACGCGAAGAAGAAGAAGATACACGTTTCTCGCCCGCAACGCCAGCTCTTGTCGTCAGTTTGCTATCTCTCTGCATGCCTTCACTCCCACCGATAATCTACTAGTACTATCTATGCGTAATGCAGGTAGAACATCGACAGACGTATAAAATGACGTCCACCGCAACACAGACTGAAGTTCGAAACGGAACCGGGTCTTAGAGTGTTGATCAAAGACCAAGCCGTCCTTCCTGTCGGTGACCAAGAATTGATTGGTCGTTTTCTATTCCTTGTTTGTATTAAGGAGTAATTCATTCGGCCACCTCTAACCTAAACTACGTATTGATTAGACTTCCTCGGTGTTTGGGTATTGACCAGTACATCCATACCAAGAATTGATTGGTCGCTTTCCATTTCTTGTTTGTATCAAGTAGTTATCGATTCGGCCACCTCTAACCTAGACTACGTATTGATTAGACTTCCTCAGTGTATGGGTATTGACTAGTACATCGTTATTTTGTTACAACCATCCTAGCATCGCCAGGATTCACAAAATGATATATTTGGAAACTGTGATAACGGACCAACTAGATCCAGACATAGAAATAAAACGTAGAATAGCAATGACTAAAACTGCTTTTATGAAAATGAAGTCATTTCCTCTACAATAATCATCTCAGTTTAGAACTAAGATAAAGAATTGTTAAGTGCTATATTTGGTCCGTACTAAACCTGAAACGGGTTTCTTGGTTGAGGAACATTCGTGAATGGACTCGGATATCAAATGCGAGAGAATTATTCCATATTGCAGAAGGTCGAGAAGCCTACGCAATGGTGATCGCCAACGTCGGATAATTCTGATATGGCACGCGAAGAAGAGAAACCTTTTAAAAATTTGACATAGGGTTGTCGAGTTTATTGTTTTTTTCCCACTTAATTTTCCAACACATATAATGTAACCAACTGAAATATGGGTATGGGTAAAAGGCCATATGATCAAGCGGAAAAAGTAGAACGTAACAAATTAAGTTGGCTACTGTAGTTTAAGACAAAAATGACGTTTTTTTCATATTTCTAAATTTAAAAAGTAAAAGTGAGTTTGCAATATACCAGCCAAATAGCCTTAACATAATAAAACATGCACAAATACTCCGATGGATTTCTGACCAGATTTCTGACGTTAAGTTTATGAAGTTTAAAATACTGAGTATATGATCTAGCTCACACCGCTCCATTCATAAGTATGTTATTACTGATAACAATCCGTTTATAACTCATTTTAGACATGTACTCGTACAATAAAAACAATAATACGAGTAAATAAAGTATCATTTGCATAAAGACTTTCATTCATTTTTGACCTTTGTTTTAGATATCTACGATTCGCTGAAGAAAAATGAACCAGTTGAGTGTAATTTGTGTAAATATTATTTTAGTGCAGTTTACTCAAGCTCTTCTGCCAGCTCCTTTTAAATGTGAGTATACAATCTTTTTTTCACTAGCTAAAAGCAATATTTCATGTATTTTAGTTAATTCTTTAACACAACCTATGCAAATTGCTTCACTCAGTCTATTTCTATAAATTGATAAACTTACCAGTATGACATTTATTTACGAATGTTAAAGTCTAGCGATACCACAAAATGTTTTACGTTTGTACTTTTATGTCATTAACACGAAGGAATGTTTGATAAAGTGCTGTTAAGCACTTGGATTGTATCAACATCTTGGGAACTGACCCTTGAAAAGGTTCAAAAATCCCGTGAAAAATTGTTCACATTTCATATTGTACGAAAGACGCATTTGACCGCTTCCGAATGGTAGGGGAAAAGAGGGAGACTTGATCCCACCGTTACATTTTTTCAGATAACTTTTTTTATAACCGCTCTAGAACATTGATAATTTAGTGGAACATTACATATTTATTAAAGTTTTGGGTGTTATACACCCGAAAAATATACAGCTAATGAATAACGAGTTTTTGTAGAAACTAGTAATAGAGAAAAACTAATCATGTCTCCCCGTACTTCGGGAGACTTGATCCTTGTGTATGGGTGACTTGCTTATACCTTCCTAGATTTACAAGATTAAAATAAAACGAAAAATTATGATATTTGAAATCAACCTTAAACATTAATCCCATTAAATTAAATTAATAGTTCATTCTTTTTTCAATATTAGAGATTTACTGATCTAGACAATAAATTTTATCATTTAAACAATTTTAATTTTAACTACAGGTTCATAATAAGATATTAGTTATTACTACAAATAAATAAAATTTTATAATTTCACAAATAAAAATTACATTAATTTCGGAACACATCGACACCTTGTCACGTCCAGCTCGTCGTTCAGATGTCAAAATCTTGTATCTCAAAATTAGTGTATTTTGGGAAATCACCTTAAACTTCCCATAGTAGAAAATATAACTTTTAAAGTTATTTTTTTTTTCTGAAATGTGGGTAGTTCCACGAAATGAATTATTTGTGATAGTGATTAAACTCGAAAAAAATAGAGTTAGATTTTTTTGAGAAAAAAATCGTGAGATACGAGTTTTTGAAATTTAAATAGTATTTAATTTCAGGTCTTACGAGGTTTTGGTAGCATATTTTCAGCCCTCTTACTCCTTTTTACACGCAAAGAACAATATTACAGAAGAAAAATAAAATGTTTATTCTTAAATAAGAAATAAAACAAACATGTTACATAAGTACTCTGATATAAAATAAAATAACACAACTATTTTCCATATTTTGAAAACAAAAAATTAGTGCTTCAACGAGTCATAAAAACCATGATAATATGGGTGAATAACAGTCTTAAGAGACTGCAGGTGATTAAATTTGTCTTCTGTAATGGGCAAATGGTCATTATACATTTTTCTTACGATTCCTGCATTATTCGTATTTTTGCGAACTGGTAAAAACTGCCACTTCTCCTCAAAGTTTAGTTTGAATTGGAAGGCAAATCTCTGGAATACCTGAGAGCCCTCAGATTATTCACGCATGTATCTCCCACTTTTTTTCCTGGACGAATGGATGAATAATACTTAATTTCGGAATAGTCATTAAACAATTGGTGATCAATATATTTAACTTTGTATGGATTTTGTAAATTTTTACGGGCCTCTTTAATTATTTCCACATAATTGGATGGTGAGTAAATGCATTTAATTTTTTTTCTTTCTTTCAATGGTGGAGTGCACACTATCGCACTCCATTTGCGAGTGACCTTTAACTAAATATTTCTGTATAATTACCGTATCATTTTCGTTGCAGAAATGCTGAAGTGCATTAGCCAATGTTACGTTGCGATTTTATGCAGAACATCCATCGCTATAAAACATTTTTGGTTTGTCCTTTTCTTGGGCATCTAACTCTTCATTTAAAAAATCAATTATACAAGATGTAAAGGAGTTGGCATCCGTTTTTGCCCTCTCCCTCATGCCATACATAACAAACTACCTTATTATTTGTTAAATTATAGATGGTGAAGTTATGGCATGCTAGTTTCTGTTTAAAGTATACCATGCCTGCTGGGACGACAGGGACAAGTTGGACCGCTTGTACATCCATCGTAAATACGCACACTTTTCCTTCCAACGTATCTTCTTTATCCTTGATTTGTTCCTTTCTAGCGCGATCTTTTTGGCTAATATGCGATTCATAATCTTCTTGTTCTACATTGCCCAGTTTATGCGAAAAACATAAATCACACTGGTCCTTCCTTGGATGATACACATCAATGTTTGTGTTTTTCATTTCTTTTAAGAAAACATCATATCCTACAGCAGATTGTGGTTCATAATTTGTGTATACGTCATATACTTCCTTATATGATTGAAAAGTTGTTTCCAAATAATGTTTACTCGTTGATAAACGGCAATAATGGGAGAGCATCTTTCGATATAATAATTCCAATTTCGATAAATAATTCGTTCAATATTTAATCTTGGTTTAATCTTGGAAGGAAAAGTAGTAGTAGTTACTTTTGAGATACCCGCGTCACAACTAGTTTTCACCCAGTTTTGAACACTCCATTCACCCAATCCTAATGTGGAGAGAAACATTTTCTTGCAAACTGGAATTACGATATTATCTATTTTCAAATGATAAAATAAACTTAAATTGCGCCTTGATTTATTTTGTGTTCTTTTTTGCACTGTTGGCTGTTTATTAACTAGCGTACACAGAAATATCTTTCGTTGATGCCAATCCATCTCAGACCAAAACCCATCAAAAATTTTCCTTCGTTGATCATCAGTTATCATTGAACATTTCCTTTTTTCTTTTGCTGCTAATCACTTTGCTGAAATACATCTTGGTTTCATTTCCCGGGAGTTTCTCTTTATGGTAACTATAGATCCATCTTTCTCCTTCTTTTTTGCTCTATATTCTTTACCACACATTCTTAAACATTTTTGTTCATATCTTTCCCAAGTAGAAGAATCTGCTTTGCCTTTTTTGCTACGCCTTCTTTTCTCATTTTTTCTTCTCGAAGAGCGTCTACTTCTTTAGGCGTCGCTTTAATTTTTTTGCGTCTGGCGACATTTACAGCTTTATCTTCAGAATCCGACGAACTATTTGGATGATAACTTGACTCTGATCCTTCGAAAGGTTCTTCAAATTCAATATCGGTGTTATAGTGTCGATTTTCTGCAGCTTCACTGATATTTTCTATATTCAAAGTTAGATCCCTACTTACATTCTCCATCTGAGTACTGTCCTTGACATCAACATTCATACTATCTTCTATATTAATACTAGCCAAACATCTGCTTTGGTTGTCATTTTTTAAATGAGATCCTGTTTGAATAGCAGTACTCTTTGGGTTAAAAATAGTACAGAAATGTACTTGAATGTTTTGTGAACAACCTGATGAAAAAGCAGTGTGCTGGAAACTCAAGGATTCTTCTCGAAGGGTCTCATAAACTTGTTCAAAGCCTGTATTTGCTTTTTTTCACTCTTCTACATTACAGCTCTTAAGTTCTGCGACTTTTATCTCTTCTTCTGCGATCTCTTTAGAATGTAAATTTTGATTGGTAGTACTTTCATTCTGCTCAATATCAGAATCCGCTTTTAGACTTTCTCTAGTGCTGATTTGACCATTCTTAAAGCCCGGCTTGCCTAAAAATAAAACAAAAAATATTTATTTTGTTTCCAAAGAAACCCCGTAAATCAATATTGTAAATACTTGATTATATTTTGGTAGGTAACGAAACCTCGTATCACAATATTTTTCACTTAAAAATTTACTGTAATACATTATTTTGGAAATTCTTGTACCAACTGACAAGTTTTTGCTTTTCCTTAATTGATTTATATAATTTGTTTCAGTTGATCACTTGAAATATAATAATTAAGTCATCATAACCTCAAATTTTTTGGAACAATAATAGTTATATTTCTGTTTAACGTAAAACAATGCGTCTACGTATTATTAAAACTAGTATTAAAATGTTTTCACTTACCATAGCTTCTAATAAACAGTTATAATTCTTTTAAACCTATATAACTGCACAAAACTGTTCAGTATTTAACAATTTTTCAGACACGTGTTGACTTACGTGGTTTCGTGCGCAACATGTGAGATACAAGGTTTCTAAATTCGAGTGACGGAGGTGCAATTTTACATGCTTTGTAATAAGAGGTTTCTCAATCGATGCGGCTCGATTTCCTAATATAGGCCACACAAAAAACGAAAAACCAACGAAAATTGAGATACGGGGTTTTGACATCTTAGCGACGAGCTGTCTTCTTAAATTATTTTCCTGTCACCTCAGCCAGTTGGTCTGTGTCGTTTCAACTGACAAGTTGGGAGCAGGGAGACATGTAGTCACTAAAGTAATTTAAAAAAAAAACTATCCATTGTCATCGACCTAGAGTCAAAACATTATTTAATGTAACATTTAGAATGCTGTAAATCTATACATGGAGGTCTTATAGACAACTTTATTGTTAGCTATAAGTACACGAGGCACTGAGGATGCTCTGTTCAGATCGAAAACGTTCTGCCAGAACTTAAATGTTGACGACACTTTTATAAAGTTTTAAATATTTGTTTTTATACCACAATACACATGTGTGAAGTGTTTTAACTTCTGTGTTTTTTTGAAAAAAAATTATTGTTGAATATTGAACATTCTCAGTGATTGAAGAAAGACAAAACATCCTATGCGCTTACTGTAGCTCCTAAAAGTCGGGCTTGATAACTTTTTTAAAATTTGGTCACGTGCGACTTTGCCCTTGTTTTCTTTTTCTGGCCACTTCGTTATTGTTATCTATTGCAACATCAAACTAAGATAAAGTGGAATTATTTTCCGAATCTTCGCGATCAGTAACATAGGCCGACATAAAATCTTCATCGGTAAATGAGTAATTGCTAAGGGGAAAGCGTAAGCTAAGCATCCTCCGACTTCGTATATTGTAATTGTCCTTTCTGGTGTCTTGATAGGGCCAAATACACTCCTGTC